TTATCATAGCCGATGATGACGATAAAATATTTTCTATCTGATGTGTCAAGTTAGCATAATTGTATATTTCTAACGAAAATTGTTTGGCTCATGTTACCCTATAATGAAAAAAAGATTCAAATCGGTTTTTAGCTTAAACAGTATTTTCATTATTAATTATATCACGAATTTTATCAATAGTATTCTTAGTATTAATTGCAGGCATGTATTCAAGAATATAATATACACAAAATATACACAAAGCTGTGTCTAATGATTACGGCTAATTTTTATATAAAATTTTATAGTATAAAAATTTAGGTTCATAGGTCAGCCATATTTGAAAGAGTACTTGTGTATTATAAGAAAAGAGAGAGAGAAAATTTAAGAATAAAAAAATTTACCACGAAGTAATATAAAAATGCAATAGAATACAAAAGAGTACAATACTATTTCATGTTTTGTGGATATACTTGAAGACAGAAACATGTTTCAGCTGTATTCGTTCATCGGAGAAAAACTTTTCATATGAAGCTATTTTTTTCAAATCTTTCACTATACAAGTAATACAAAAGCAGTATAGGAATTTCTTTTCTTAATACCCAACCGAAGAGCTGAGGGGACGTACAATGATTAACATACAATGGGTGCCTTGAATTATTTTGCTTTACATGCAGTTTCCTTATATGTAAAACAAAATAAACTTTCACCCATTCGAAGATTTCAAGAACTCACAGAGAGAGAGAGAGAAATATCTATAACAAATTTTATTGCTGTCTGACTGATTGCTTCGGAAACAATAAGTCTTCCAACTCAAGCTTTCAAGCTTCAAGCTATTCAAATACGAACGCTTCTCAGCAAAGCCATTTGGACCGCATCTGCTTTGTTAAAGAAAACCTTTTGGGGGTAAAATCATCCACTTCATCGGGTTTTTCAAACAAAGCAGTCAGTGGTCCTGTTACTACCTGCTGACCTAGAGAAATTTCTCAGAAACTTTTGTTCGAAAAAACGAGTTTTATATTTTTAAGAATTTCCATTCTGACAGCAAGATTTTGTTATTTTTCATATATAGATGAAAAGAAACTAATTTGTTTTTAATAAAGAAGAAAAAAAATTAATAAGCTTATTTAAATTTTTTACACAGCACCGAGTAAGGAGACGAAATTTAATTTTCTTTATAAATATTTTCTCAGACAATACTTTAGTGTTTTTCAAATTCCGAGAATAGCGCGTTAGTGCATGCATTTTCAAATCAGATTTATTTAATTAATATATATTTGGATATGCCGAACAAGCACACTTTCGCACACATACACTGTATATTAGTACATACATAAAAATGAAATAAAATTTGAAAACAAGCAATTTAAAAACTACTGTATTGAAAAATTATTGAAAATTTGTTTTTACCTCATTTTTTTTTTTTCGTTATATACATTTACTTCAGTTTTTTTATATGCATTTACTTAATTTATTTTTTTCTTATATGCATTTACTTAATTTTATTTTGTTATATGCATCTGTTAGTGTTTTTGAAAAATTTTTAGATTTTTGAGTATGGCAAAGGAAACGAGATCTATCAGCCGAAGGCAATGAATGTCTCCATGGACGACTTTCTAAGTAAAACGTACTCATGTTCATGTTACACATAGGGGAAATCACAAAATTCAACCAGTTCGTTTGTTTGGGTTCGAATATGAGTCGAAATAGCGATAATCAGATATCTTAGCCAGGAGGCCATTGATTGGGTTTGACAGATTTGGAAACCTAATAAATAGTATTTAATAAATATAATATTATTAAACGAATCGAATCGGATTTATATAAACCAAATAAAATTCTTATATCGAACACAACTAAAACTCGATATAACTTACACTGATAAGCTGATGTGTAATAACACTGATAAATTAAATACTAAACGGAATATACATTAATTCTACATAGATAATTTTTTGTAATGTATTTCGCTGGGAATGTCTGGCCGCAAAATCCTGATTATATATACCCTTATGTTAAGGTTATCACATATCTGATGGTTTGACTTTTACCTCAAAACACAAAGAATCCACAAAATTCAGTAAAATTAATAACTTTATTTCCCTGTTGAAAATTCTCGGAATCTTTTCAAATATAAAAGCACACGCGCCAAGCAGTTTGCTTTAAATAAATATATGCAGCAACGAGAAGATGCGCTTTTGACAGCAACTCGTTTCGAAAATCGAAAATTTTTCTAAATGTAAGAGATTTGTCGCTTAAATTAATTTTTCATTAAACAAAAAAACAAAAAAAAAAAAAAAAAAAAAAAAAAAAAAAAAAAATAGAATCGCATATTATTAAAAGAATTTTATGATAATTCAGATTCTGAAAACAAGAACATTGTTGTTATAAAAAAAAAAGAAAAAATAAACAAACATATTTCATTCAACGGGGGCCAACTTTGGCGCATGAACTTTCAACATAAAAATATTGAAGCATGTTATGGATAAAGGTTTATTTGATTATGGCAAAGTACTCGATGGTTATTTGCCTAAGGTGAAGGATGCCTTCGTTCGAGGACTGCCTAACGGAAATTGGCTTGCATACATGTTACACATATGGAAAACTAAGAATATCATCCTGGCAACCAGCTCGTTTGCCGGGATTCGAACCCCGGACAGAACCACCAGTTGTTCCGTTAGACTCCGCTCAGTCGCTGGTGGGCTGTCCGATAACGGAAAAGTTCAAAATTTCATATAGAGGAAAAGTGGTAGTAGCATAGTATAATTCGAAGTTATTGCCATTTCAGTAATGTGAAGAGATTTCAAGAATGTTTAATTATTTTATTTAGCTTATGACAAACTAAATAAAATAATTAAACATTCTTGGAATCGCTTCTCTTAACATACTGGTAGTTTGACCTGCATTCAAACCCCCGTGAACAAGCTGATTGCATGGGCGTTTTTATGGTTTTAACTTTTTGTAGTGCGAGATTGTTTCCCTTAGAAAATCTGTCACGAAAGCATACCTCCCCTTAGACAGATCGCCTTCACGTGCTTAATAATCTAACAAGCCAAACCAAACACAACCCGAGCGAGGACTCGTAGTCAAGGCACGTCATCATGAAAAGCTAACTAAAATTGGCTCATATTCACATTAAACATGGGCAGCAAAAATTCGCTAAAACTGGTATGCAGGCAATCCATTCGTCAGGATTTGAACCCGCTTCAAACTATTAGTATTCAACGATTTTACTGCGCTACTTCGTTGGCGGCCTTTTGTAGTATCTATAAGAAAAGTAATCGCAAAGACACAATCATTGCGTACCGACGGATGAATTAAGTTCGGAATTTAAAGAATAACTTTCATTCGTGCTATTGCTGTTAGCATTGACATTTGGACAGATGTTAATTTATTTAAATTCTTTTAATGTAATTAATTTATATCTTTAAATAATTGATTCTTCTGACTGTAATTTTTTGTGCGGAGTATATCTAACCCTTTCGTACACTAACTGTTTTAATTAATTTACACTCCATTAATTTTAAGAGATTTTATATCGATAGATTTCTTTCCAAAAATGTTTCAAGGATTACATATTTTTTCTTTAGATTTCAAAACATTTTGTATTTAAAATCTTAATAATAAAATCTTTAAAACAAATATTTCTAGAAATTCCTTCGGCGTATTTATTTATTCCATTTAGTTGAAGTTTCGAGTAGAATATCTTCCTTTCAACATTCATATAATTTTTATATGTTAGTTCGCCATTTCTACGGAGCATAGAGCCACACATACGAGTACAAAACTCAGGCATGCTGAAAGCACAGTTTTAACATTTAAGAATGTAAAAAGAAGAATATACCATTATAATAACGCGCATTTGAAATACGAAGGCAAACAAGAAAGCTGGTTGCAACATTTTATATTTTTTCCTGACGAATCAGAAATTGTAATCATTTCTCAATACAAAAATAAAATATTTGATTCTATAACATATAGGCATAAAGGCGTCCTCCGTTACAATTCTTATTTTTTCTTGTTTCTACTAAAATTCGGCAATGTACTATAACAACGTAGGATCCTGTTTGACTTACATTTGTATAAAGTACCACAAAGCAAACAGTTGTAAAACGATTTATCTTCTTTCGCAAACTTTTAGTCGGCACACAGATAATACATACTTGCTGTCTGACAAAGATACTTCACTCTAAGGACTTTTTCCTAAAGTGCTCTTTTCAAAGAGACTTCACACCCTATTAAGACCTTTGTGTCAACTAACAGCCGCCTGCAGAAATGTAGGGGAAGGAAGACCAGATCGCGTTGTCTAAACACGTCTTCAATCTTCACGAAATCAAGCAATCTTCGCGAAATTCGGGCTTCGTGTATACATGTCTTAAGCATTTTTCGTGCGATTTGAAATTCGTGTAAAGACGTCTTAAGAATTTTTAAAGAAATTCCAAAAACGTTTAAACACGTCTTAAGCAGTTAAAGGGTTAATGATTTTTTACTGAAAAGGAAGATGGAAATTTAAGCATTAAAATCTTAAAATTAGCAAAAATTAATGCTATGTTAAGCAGATAATACGATTTTAAATTTCTGAATTTTTTCATCACAATTTGCTAATACATCTTTTTAAAAAGTTTAATTAAATTATAACTTTCACGATTATATTGTAACTTCAAGTTATAACCATAAGTTTAACATTCTGTGAACTGCTTTAGAAATAAATACTCCACCTCCCCTAAAATGAAGCCTCTTCACTTTGCATAAAACCAGAGCAATGCCGGGTATTTCAGATAAAAATAAAATAATCTAACAGTAAAAGGAATTTGGGAATTTATTCGACACTCGTGGAAAATATCAGATATTCGCGAAATCTTAAAAACTTCTCCTAATTTTCACTAATCGTAAGCGTCTGTACCATTATAAAATTACTGCTCCACTCATCCAGGATATTATATTTTAATTTGAAGTACTCGTAAAAACAGATAGGTAGTTTTAGGTTAACATTTTTGATGATGTTATTTCATGCGTTTCAGATTATCGATGGCCTTCTTACTCGGAATACTCACCCACCGACAAGAAACCATGGACGCATCATCCGTATTCGCTTCCACATTTCACAGCTGGGATAAATGGATACATCAGAAGAGGTATTCCTCACATTTTCCCAAGAAATCGTTTTCGAAGCAGAAGGGGAAACTTTGCAAGGCTCTCAAACCTGTGCTTTCGAAATTGCATTCCACATTCTTTCCCTAATATCTGCAATCCTCAGTGTGTGATGCTAAAAAACGATGAAACAACAGATGAGCTAATTCAGCTACCGACAGAGAAGAATGTAACATTCAATGAATTAAAGCAGGAATTCCTGCCAGTCAGCCAGAAGACAGACAAAGAAAGCTTGAGTCATGATCATCAATCTTTTATTAATGCGAATGTTCATCATGGTGAAGACAACAAACATAGATACTCGTTCATACCAGGACAATACGAAAGTGAGGCAGCATTAACTGTCAATGCTAACAACGAATTTCAGAATCTGCGTAATTTCGAACATCCTCGTCTCTTAGAATCTGGTAACAACTTTTACGAATTTTGGTCGAATTATTCAATTGGGCTTCCTGTAGAAAGTTTTAGGACCACGGATAATTCAATGTTGCCTTTGCCAACAGCTGACAGCTACCCCAACCAGACATCTATGGAGAGTAATTTCTCATACAAGAGTCATCATTTGAGTTCTGAAATCAACTACATGCCTAATGAAAGCGACTCCGCTAAAACACTGCCAAACATTTTAGAAAATGTGTGTTTAACTCAAAAGTCTGAAAATTTCCTTGAACAACAAGTAGAGCCTAAAGAATGCAGCGTAGAATTCTTCAGCCAAGAACCAATGGACGAAAAATCCTTGGCCGTACATCAGATTGAACGTCTTTTAACATCCATGGCTTCAAACTTTTCCACTCAAGATCATGAAAAAACAAAGATTCCAGATTTTAGCTTAAATCCTGGCGATTCTAGTGATTCCTGTGCCAAAGTCAATGCCTTAAAGAATATACAGGAATCTGCGAAACCTATTGCTGTAGAAGATGTGAAATTGCATCCAAGTATTCCAATACAAGTGAATTCTTCAGAAGCAATAAATGAAGATTCTAGCTTAAGTGTCAGCAGTCCTAGAGATTTTGTTAACTTACCTTCTTCATGCGATAAAACCACAAAAGATTTACTGCAGTCAGCTACCGGGACAGTTGAAGAGAATTCGCATTCAAACACTAATGCGGAAATAAACATAGAAGAATCAAATAGCGTGTACCTAAATGAAAACTTCAGTAATTCTTGGAAATCTGATAAAACCATACTGCCTGAAGTTGCTGATACAATGAAATACGATTCTGGATTATCGATAAATCTTGTTGCATCAGAAGCGGATATACGGGAGACAACGTTAGAAAACTCTACAGATAATGGAAACAACTCAGGTAGTGCATCACAAGCACTGACACCAGAGAAAGTTCAACATCTGCTAGAGCCATTAGGATTAGGAAAGGAACCTCCTACGCCAGTTAGCGATATCATGCGACAGAACCAAGTGATTTTTAATGATCTATCAAATGGAATAGTAACTAACGCAGAAAATATGGCACAAATGGAAATTCAAAAAACGTTGTGCAAAAATTTGCAAACTGTAAGTGAATCACTGACGAAATTCTTTGCGATCTTCAGTCCACCTTCAGATTCTTATTTCTTTCATGGAAAGGTTAACTTAAATGAAGAACAAAGTAAAGTACCTTCTGAAGAAAAAACCGTTTTACAATCCTTAAGAAATGAGGGTTCAGCGGAGAAAGCAATATCATTGCAAGTGCCCGTAAAGAAAAATTCTAATGATGCACTTTATGGTGATATTTTAAATACAAATATTTTCCCCAATCAAGTGGAGTCAACTCTGAGCTCTGTCACGAATTATGTTTTAGAAGAACCTGCTTCTAAAGAGCCTTGGATGCTAGGCAGTATTTTCAATTCGGATTTTACAGCCAACGGCGTTACTCTAGAGAATGAAACTGAACTGTGCAAAGCAGAGCATGTACATGATTTTTCAAACGAGAAATCTTCTTTTTTAAATCAATCAAAGTGTATTTTCCAGGACATTCGGGAAAATGCCAAGTATTTAGAGTACAAAAACAGAGGTGGAAAAATAAAATTTTACAGAGATGTTCAGACACAAACAGAACATTTAGACAACAAACGACAGGATTTGAAATTGGAAATGTCTTGCTGTGTTTGTCAGGGCCACTTACAAGTCGTAGATGGAATTGGTCGTAGCGATCGTAACAACGAACGAAATTTACGTGTTAAAATATCCACTGACAAGAGAAAACAGACACGGTGTAAATATCGCCCGACCAAGAAAAGAAGGAAAGCTCCTGAAACTGGCGACTTTGTTGATATAAATCAGGAGCATTTCAGCTCAAGTATATGTGTGCGAAAGACAGAGAGAAATTGTTCTCTTGGGAAAAGACATTTGACTATTGCTGATTCCAAACTTGTAGCGCAAAAGGATTTGATTACGAACCACAAAAATGTTACGCCTAACAAATTTTGTATGAAGAATTTGTCCACTTTTCCAAAACGTAACCAAGTAAACGTCTGCCAAAGAAAAACTTTTACTGTAACCACCATCAGAAGGAGAAATGTTAGGCATTGTGCGCTAGATGGAGCTCAACGTACGGAAAATAGATATTTAAATCAGAATTTCAAATCAGCCGTCACTCAAAATTATGTTAAAGACAACAACAATCTACCAGTGGAGCATGAACTAACCAAGTCAAAAAAGGAAAACGAAGTATTCTTTCCTAGTAGTTCTTCACAGGCTGGGAATCCCGTCTTGACCAGCGAAAATATGCCACGAAATAATGTCAAAATTATCCTCTCTCGTATAGATCAATCATCTGTCACAGATGAAATTATCAAATCAAAACCTCTTTGTCAGTTGCCACAAAAGCTTTTCCAAGTTCAAGACAAAAACATGGCCAGAGATAAGCACGGTCAGAAAGATGAAACACACATGGCCAGAGATGAGCATGGTGGGAGAATTGAAACAAGTATGGCCAGAGTGAAGACACCTGATACGAAATCAACATATCTGAAAGAAAATAATGATATTTGCCAACGATCTTCCTTTCGTGGACCATTGTTCAGTTACTCTCTTCGGCAATCAACACGTCTTCGTAGCTATTCTTTAAACTATTAATTTTGATCTAATTCATTATTAGCCTCATGAATGAGGAATTCGTTTTCAGCTTTCGAATTTGGTAAAATCACAAGCTTAATTTTTCAAAAGAAACAAAACAAAACAAAACAAAACAAAAAAAAAAAATTGAATTCAATTATGAGTTAAGGAAGTTATAATTGCGTTGACCATCTTAAAATTTATTAATCAAATTGAGATTTTAATGACAAACAATTATTCGTAATGACTAAATCGTAATGCAAATTTACTCTTACATTATTTTTATGTTATTATTTTTTAATTATGAGCTCTGTGATGTCGCGAAGAAAATTACGTTAAAGACCGTGGTTATTTAAAATGTCAATGATTTTTATATTTAATTACATGAATATTTTTATTAGATAATTAAAAAACCTTTTTTGATAATGAAAGCTATTTTAACGAAAATCATTAATTTTGAAATTTTCATGACTTGCACATATTTTATGTTCATAAATAAAAATTTTGAATTATTAAATGAGTACTTCAATTCTTAAGCGGTAATCACGGAATATTTGTACAATTAAAGTTCATCATTATTATATTAAATGATAATGCAACTGTGACTGCGTCTCGTTGCCGTAAATTCATTTCGAGTTTTACTCTGGTGTGTGAGTTTATATACTTCAGTTTATATTTATCTGAAACTAAACTCAGTGGTGCAACAACCCTTAGTAAGCCATGGCTTGTAGTGCTCTGATATCTGCTTTCTTGACCGCTGGCCCAAGGTTGCATGAGCAAGTAACCCAAGGAGGTTAGAATAGATGGAGATGGCGTCTCTGCTATTGCAGTACGAAGAAAGTGAAGCCAGGGAAAGGAAATAAGCCACGCCACGTGAGGGCAAGAAAACTATTACCTTACTAAGCGAAGTGAGGTAAAACGCCAGCTGGTTTCAAGTTCTCAGTGTGTTCTCTGATTTTGTATGCGTAGATGCGAAAGGCCTAAAAGGCACTGAATTGTTACAGCGAAATAATGTCTACATTTCCGACTTCATGTCCATGTAAAAGAATGTTTTAGAACGTGTATAAAAAAGTAGAATAATCGAAATGTGTGTTTGAATGGCCTTCAAGAAAGAGTTTGAGTATTTGAGTATTTTCTTTCTGTAAAGTACACGAAGAAACATATATAGTTCTCAGATTTACCTTTTCATAATAATAATTAAAGTGATATTCGTAATTAACTTATATGGGATGGCAAAACGATAAGTAAACAAGGGGAGGGGACGTGGCTAGCTCTCCATGGGAAAGAAAACAGTTTACTTTAATGTCTGATCATAATTACATTACAGGTCTTACCTTTTATGAGTTTAACTACATTTTATTTTGTGCTCAAGTAAATATATGATTTTTTAGTCACATATGTTGTGTGAGTTTTAAAATAACAACATAAAATTTACATATTAACTATCATTGTTTATTCAATTTGAGTTTTTTCGAAACATAAGTAATATTTATAACATAAGAAATTTGAGAATTATATATACTTAGAATAAGTAAAGTATAATTAAATTATAGTTTGAGTGCATAGTTACTGTTTCGTGTTCACAATACTTTTAATGCTAGCATTCATTAATTAGAGGATGCAATTACAAAATGTAGAAATTATTGCAATTACATAATGTAGAAATAAAATGAAATGGCGAGAAAAGTAAAGGAAAGTGGGCGTGAAGAATCTGCGATCCTACGACTACCGGGAACAAAATTGGGTGCGGTTAGAGCACGTCAATCTTTCTAAGCCACAACTACTAAGTGCATGCTTTCCCCCTTTTTTTGGCTTAACTTGGACTGCGGAAGGGTATCTCCATGAGTTCTAACCTCTTTGAAGTGACCACCCTGGGCAAATGACCGGCTTGTCGCAGAACTAAACATAAGACTAAAAGACATGTACTGTCTGTCTACAGTAAGAACAGTCCTGCCACGGTGTCTGGCGAGTGGCGGTCACTATAGCAACAGGGCTAGTATATTTCAAATAGGGACGAACCAAGTGTTGCTTTATTGTTATTTTGTTTTTGGCGACTGTTGGCTTAAGGGAAGTTTATCATTCGTCTTCTCGGCTTCATTCCAGCTGCACGCATCTTTTCTTAAGCCTTATATTATTACTATTAGCTATTTTTATTCTCGTTGTTATATCTTTTGTGCTAGCATTTGCTCAAATTCGCTTCTATTTAGCTTGATTTTCGTAGTGCTTTGTTAATCGCCAATTTTTTAAAATGCCCTTCCAGTTTAAGAAAGGTCAACCTTTAAAGTCTCAGTCACATCAAATCGTGTATAATGTCGCAGAATTTTACGCTTCTGAAGCTTCGGCGAACTCTTTAGTAGTTCCTCTTCCTTAAGTTTTGAAGAGCGAAGTATATCAACAATGGGTGAAAAATAAACTTCTGAATACACTTGGAAAGAAATGTAAAAGCCCTGCTAATCATAAGTGTGAAATTGACGATTTTGACAAATGCGTTTTCTACGGCAGACAATACAAGACTTTTACATCAAAGAAAGAAAAGTGCCATCTGTGCGGAAATTACTGCCTGTCTTCTTGAGGCAAAAAATAGACTTCCCGTGGCAAAAAGACTCTTGTTGCAAAGTTTTTGTGTTCAATGAATTTTCGTTGGAATGCGTAGGAAAAAAAAAAATTCTTATCGAAAGAACCTCACATTGTATTTTGGAGGAACAATTATTTACGCGAAATGAGAAAACTCAGAGCAAGTGAAAACGCCACATCGTTTACATCGATGAAACATGGATTGACAGCAATTTAGCTTTTAAGAATGTTTGGCAACATGATACGGTTTTGGGCGCACAGCCAGTTTCCCTTAGCAAGCCCTCCATGAAGGCATCCCTCCTCTTAGGCATTTAGCCCTGGGGGCTTTCCGTAATCATATAAACCAACCCCAAACCACTGGTAATTAAGGAAAAAAAGCAGTTTTGATTTTAATTCACCTTCGCTTCCTTCCGCCATTAAATTAACCAGCTTTTGGTTTAGTTTAAAGGTATGGGAAAAGAAGAAATGTTCGCAAAAAAGTATTTATTGAGAGCATGGGTATGTAAAAAAACGCTTTTACTTTCAAGATAATTCTATATACATTTAATGATGAAAATTTTAGTCATTATTAAAGCACAAGCAATAAATTAACAGAAAATTTTGTGAAATAAAAACATAGCAGAACGTCATTTAAAGACTGAAGAAATTGCTTTGCTTTGAATGTTCACGGTAGATCAGCTAGAGGGGAGAACTATAAAAAAATTAAATTTATTTTATATTTATGAAGTGCGTCTATACTATATTACAGAGAATGGTGCAATCAAGTAGATTTCTAAGATGTCATCTATGGATTTTGCAAGCAAACAAATAAACAAAAAAGAAGCAAAATAATAGCATGACTTTTTTAAATGTCAAATTAAAAATTTTTCTTCAAAATAAACACGGATTTTTAAATTTATTTCCCTACAAGTTTATTTTTACTCATTGTACATCTAGAGGGATGGCAAAAATCAGCGACTTGTACCTCACACGGCAAAATCAAAGACCGTTTCTTGACTGCAAAAAGCTTTATCTACGCCATCGAATTTCATTTTTCGGAAATTGGATGTCGGGGTCGACGCAAAGGGTCAATGATAATTTTACTTGAAACTAAAACAAAATGTGAATATCGCCAAATTATCTTTAAATGCGCCAAGGTGGCAAACTCAGAAGTAAGTCTTCAAGACACCCCTATGAAAAATGGGTTAGGGCTCGTTTCTACGGCAACAGACAGCTGCAGACAAACTGGCGAGAGCTGTTCTTACCATAGACAGACAGTATTTAGTCTCCAAACGAGCTCATTTTATCGACCCACTCAAGAAAGGAAAGGGTGAGTTAACCTTGCCCAGATCGAGGATCGAAACCCAGACCTGTATTGCTGCTATATGACGCGCTAGCCACTGCGTCACCGGGACGCGTATTTTTACTTCCTCCCTAGGAAACGCAACAGGCGACTAAATTTGGCGATTTACGAGGTCTTGGCGAAATTGTTTGGCTAGCGCAAGCGCAGAGATGGACGAACTATCGTGATGATATGTCGTATTTTGTACCGTGATACTTGATCGCCAGTATTTCGTAATGACGGTTTGTAATGTAATTGTGCATGTGCGAAACATAATTACTGAAGCAGCAAATTTCATATGTGATTAGTGGGGGGGGTATTAAATAAAGGAAAAATGGCGGTTCATTTTTCAACAGAGTGTACTTACGGTGCTTTTTTATGGCTAGACTACGTGTCGAGCTATTGGTAGTTACTAGCACTGCATATGGTTAGGCGTGGTCGCATTACAATAAAGATAAATATTAGGTATACACGGGGGGAAAAGCCTTTAGCTGAGCATGAGCTCAAGTGAACAATAAAATAATAATAATTCTTTCTAATTTAATAATGACTATTCTTAGTTTAGGCTATATAGTTCATAACTGTAACTATAACATGTATTGTATATATTTACCTATTAAATAATTCTGTTAAGATATGTATTGTTTCTTATAAAAATTAACAATTTATTCATTCTAACAGTTTTTATTTCACTCATTTCATCTTCCTTTGCTTCCGTTGTCCAGTTTGTAACATATACAAACACTTACCAAGTGTGATATATTTTCCTTTATATATACAGTGACTCCCAAAAGTGTTCATACACTTATAATTTTCTTTGAAATAGGGCTCTATCCATTAATTAAAAGTAAACTTTTTGAATGAGATTTTAATAATAAGATCCATAATCTATTCGTAACAAAATTACATGAAATATTTTTAAAATATAGCGAAACTTTATTTTTAAGAAATTAATAATAAAAAAATGACAAACATTTTATCTCACAGAAGTCTTCGTACACTTCAAAAAAATCTTGACATATTAGTAAATATTTTCATTTTTCGTTAAATTAATATTAGTAGGATGTCCTTTAGCATTCACAACAGCTTTTAAACGTCTGGGAATAGATTTTACTATTTTCTTTTCTTTTCTTTTTTTTTTTTTTTTTTTTTTGTAATTTCTATATCAATGTTCATCCATTATGGCTTCCATCATGGCTGTTTTGAGTTCGTTTCGATGTTGTGTTTTCGTACTTTAACCTCCAGCTTTTTCCAAATGTGTTCTATGGGGTTTAAATCTGGCAACTGAGGTGGTGTTTTCAAAACCTGTGGACAATTATAGTGACACTACAGTGAACGTTGAGAGCCGTATACTACTTAGGATCGTTATCATGATGAATACCCAAATTTTGGGCTAATAATTTTAAATTGCCTCTTAAAATATTTAAATAAAGAAAATGATTAATTATGCCATCAATAAGTATCAAATTACTTAGTCCTGATGCTGTCATGCCCCTCTACACAAGAACATGTCCACCGCCATGCTTAACTGTTCCAACTAAATTCTTAGAATGAAGTTCCTCATT